ACAATATGATGTCTCAAAGCTATTAATAATATATTATGCATATCTATCATCGAATGTACCCTATGACCTTTTAATCTGTTTTATATTGATATTTTTAAATGTAGGGGTGGGCATGGCATTCACTCAACATGAAGCTCGTCGTCTTGGACTTTCATATTTGCTAGCTGCTTATTTAGTTCCATAGGTATTGAAAATACAAGAACATGTATTTGGCCATTTAGATGTTGATCATCATATATAATTAGCATGAGCAGTCACAGTAAATATTCATACAGCATGCATTCAAGATTGGATTTGTTTCTATCCGAGAAACGTCGTCGATATTAAACACGACCATCATTTAACGATGCTCAAATCTTCGATCTAACGACGGGACAGAAAACACATGTCGTCAATCACAATCCATGATGTTAAAGTTTGTTTCGAACTCGATATCATAAACAGCTGAAAATTTTTATTTTTATAAAGTTGTAACAACTATCGCTCGTCCATAAATTTGCTTGCTCTTTTTTACAAGAAGTATGGAAAGTCATTGAGTTCTTAATAGATATATTGGTCTAAAAAAAGCAAAATTTTGAACTCTAATATCACAACTCTTTGATATTGTCATAGATGCACTTGAAATCTTCTATCACGAAAGTCTTCAGAAGCCACGAAATCATTTGCGAATGGATTATAATCATTTTCTGCGACTTATCACACAAATTGCTCTGTATTTCTTCCCTAAAAGTTCACATTTCAGTATTGATCAGATCTTTCTGTAAAATGTCGAGCAAAATAATTATTAGGTTTCTATAATCAGCACCTTATATGTCCTAGTATTGACTCCTTATCAGCTTCAAAGAATCTTTGTTCTGACAAATCTTCATCTTGTCAACGAAATATTCGCTAATATTTCGGTAAGTGCCTCTTTTTCATAGGCTTTTCGACACTTGATAAATAGTCAGTTAGTGTTGTGACTTAAATGGAAGTAATCAAAACACTTGTTTATCATGAGCAAATCAGCATTTTACTTACATAATTTTTTGACTTTTACCTCACTACTTAATTATTTTTCACTATTATTTGCAAAACCATAGATGGTATAGATTTTAATATGAGTAGATATAAAAGTCCTATATGTCAAAGTTGAAAGTTGAATTCAATTCAGGTTTCAACGTTCAATCTTCAAAAGGCATTAACATTCCTTCACTCTCGACGTGGATGCGATCTTTTGGTTCACAGTAACTCTCTCTCTGTAATGGTGAAGTAGAAAGAGCTATACCGCATTTATTTTCGTACAGGTGCCACTAAATGAGTTAGGAGGTATGCATTCTGATATGGTTGTCATGACAGGTATCATCATGTCTCTTTCGATAAGGTTGCGACGGAACCATTGAAATTTGAAACTTGAAATCTAAAAGTTTGAAGTTAAAACTTGAAAAGAGTTTGTTCAACTGAATTCGATTTTCAAGTTTGACGTTATAGCGCCTTTTGAGCTCATACCTGACCGACAAAAGAGGTCTTGGTGAAAATAGACAAAGACTACTTTAATTTGCTCCTATAGGTTTTCGATCTCAACTTTGCAGTAATTTACTGCATTTTTGAATAATTTTCAGATATTAACCGTCAAGAGAAATGATGGAATTTTGATCTTCAATGTTGCTTACAGATGGATTTAATAACTCTTAGAATAGCTTCAACGTTGAGCTCAAAAGCACATTCCTTTGTCGAGATATTCAATTTCCAGAAAACGGTTGCTGACAACAGATATGACACAAAAATCGGGTTTATTTGAAAACTTATTTTAAGTAATAAAGAGTAGCACTTGTGCTAGTCCAAGCAGGGGTATGCGTGTGGGTGCATTTTCCCCCTGAACTGATACATCCCACAGCCCCACCCATCTTTAAGTGAATTCAATCCACAGTTAATTGAACAAAGTGAAGTGTTTCAATATGTATCAAATACAAATAAACTAAAAAAATCTGGATCTTTGTGAATGTTGCTCATTGAATAAAGTTCAATTCATTATTAATTTATTTCCAAAATTTGAATATCTTAAAACTGAAATGAATAGAAAAAAAAATTGGACAGATAATTAGATTTTTATTATCAAAATCTAATAATAAAACATAAAGTTTATTCCCTTTGCGTATTTCAGAAGTACCAAAAACATTTTAAAAGAAATAAATGTTTTAATTAAATTTATTAATCCTAATTTATATTTACGGTGATAAAAATTGAGTTGCTTAGTACATGCTTTATTGTTGTTTATAACTAGAGATTACTTTTGAATAAATAAGAAATCTAACTACCAATATATTTTTTATTATTTTATTTTGATTTGACCATAAAATAACACATACATGAAAGGGATTCCTGTCAAGAGTGTCACATAAGTTCTGGACCTCAACAAAAATTTGTTTCTATGTAAACAAAGAGTGATATCTATCCGACTATATATATATATATAAGCTTCAATTACTTTAGACAGCGTATTAAATGGCATAGAGGTTTTTTTAGAAACATTTATTGTTCAAGGAAAGAAATTAGCAATCAAGAAAGAGTGAGAACTGAATATTGTGTGAAATACGATTGATAACGACCATTGAAATATATAATAGGAAAAATAGAGCAAACTCATCGTTAGTCTTCTACAAAACTGTTATCAACTACGTTGGATTTCTCGGCTTTGTTAAAAGTGACTTCTTCGAATGTTACATTTTAACCTTGAAGGTACTGGGTCAACAGCTTTTACAAAGAGACTCAATTTATTGTTGATGAACAACGAAAATTTCATTAATGAAAAGATTCCCTTTGGCCAACTGATCATCCTCCGACTTCAGTGTCTGTTTTGGCTATAAATATTGTTTAGTTCACTAGTAAAGATCCTTGTAGGATTCGGATTTTTATTGCTTCCTTCAAAAGTTATGAAGTTTTTAATTTTGGCCCCATAGTACGGGGTGCATAAAAATATTTATTCAGTAGGGTAACTTTAGGATTTCAAATATCATCTCTAATGCATTTTATACCAAATCAAAGCTCGTAAAAAATGGGATTTAGGAATGTAACTTGCCACTCCTAAGGTAAGAATGGTCTATAAAATTAAGGAAAGTTTCAAATTTTTCATACATAATTGGATACTTCCATGTGTAGTCAACCAGTAAAACCTAAGGCTCTCAGGTAATGTTTTCGCCTTTCAGATTTTGTAGAGCTCTCTTTGCTGATGATTTTGATAAAGAAAAACATTTTTAAATTTGATCAAAAATAACGATGTTGGAGTCAAAGCATTCATAAACATCTTAGCTCTATCAACCACAGGAACTTAAGACTGTCAGCGTTTTGACCCTAGCATCGTTATGTTTTAATCAAATTTAAAATTTTTTTAATGAAAATGATCAGCAAAGAGAGCTCTACAAAATCTGAAAGGCGAAAACATTACCTGAGAACCTTTGATTTTACTGGTTGACTACACATGGAAGTATCCAATTATGTATAGAAAATTTGAAACTTTTTTAATTCTATAGACCGTTCTTACCTTATGAATGGCAAGTTACATTCCTAAATCCCATTTTTCACGAGCTTTCATTCGGTATAAAATTCATTAGAGATGGTATTTGAAATCATAGGGCTACTCAGCTGGATAAACATTTTTACACATTCTGCACATGATATACAATATGAGAATAATTAGTACAGCGAGAAAAAAGAAATATTTTCGCATCGGTTCAATCAAATAGACTGGGTTTTTGATTACTTGTAGAATGTTATATTCAATGCTTCTTTTAATACGAATACTGTGAGTATATACCATTGTTACGTATTATGGTTGATATCATAAAGGTATTTTTACATGTTATCAGTAAAAAGATACATGTATAGCGTGTCAGAAATAAATTTCAGTTGTCATGCAAGACAATGACAAGGACAGATCGAAAAGAACTTTACAAACGACTCTGCATCGATATACACAGAGAAAATTTTCAAAACTACGTAGTTAGTTCTAATGTTGAGATTCATGTTCCATGATTGAAGCATATAAGTGCAGCTCTTTGGGTAGCAAAACACCAACTTTCTTGCAAAACAAAAATGTTCCATGTTTGAAAACTTACTGTATGGGCATCAATACAGAATCATTTATAAAGTTCTTTTGACTTGTTCTTATTATTGTCTTAGATGAAAACTGAAACGTATGTATGAAACGCACTACATTATTTTTTTTTACATGATAACAGGTTAATTTGCTTTTATAGTACCAACAATAATACTTAACAATAGCATTTGTTGACTTTATCTGAACAGAAAAAACTTCAAATATAGCTCTATCAATGACCGAAAAACCAGTTGATTTGATTGAACCAATGCGGAAATATTTCACTTTTTTCACTGTACTAATTATGCTCATACTCTATGCCATGCACTGCAGGGGAAAATTAAAATGTTCATAACCTTTGAAGATACTAATGTGAACTCGAATCCTATAAAAGTTTTTACTAGACTATTAAACAGTATGTAGACACTTCGGTAGATTGTACCCTATCGCTAGCAGCCCTGATTTCTAAAAACAAATATTTCGAACAATAGTTTGAGCTACGAAAAATCGGAGTACGCCGTTATATAGAGTTCGTCGAGTTGTACTAGAGCAGATCTTTCAATGAATCAGGTGTTGACTTCATTTACTTCTTCTCGCAGACTCTTGTAAAGAATTTGAATCTAGGTGATAATGACCAAGAACGCATTCCAAAAATAATAACTAGCTTTTTTAGGAAAGGAAAACTTTCTAGAAAATATGGAACTGTCAAGAAGATATTCAAAAAAAGTGGAATGCATTCTTGATCGTTCCATTCTGGAACACATTTCATATTCTCTGGAACGTTTTCTTTCCTTAAAAAAAGCTAAATTGTTTTTTTGGTTGGTGTTCTATACTTTTCTATTTGATGAACATTTTTTATTTGGTATAAAATCAGAAATCAAGTGAAAAATAAAGAAAATGATGATTATTAAGTTAATCTACGTAGTTTTTAGATCCATATTATAATATTGTGAACATAATGTAAATCCTTAATGACCACACACGTCGACGGCAAATGATCTCTTAACCATTGAATAAGTTCATTATTGTTAACTTGGTCATTCTCACGAAATGTTCCATCATCGTTTCTCTTTAAAAATGTATTGTTTGAATATTTTTCATCAATCTGATAAATATATAATATTCGAAGATTGATCATATTTTTTACAAGAGTAATGATATTTTCACGATTATTAACTCGAATAGAAAGTACTTCACATTGAATACCCAATGATGAACGAGTTAATAGAAGACATTCATTTTCATTGAAATAATGAACATATTTTTCTAAACAGAGTTTACGAATAGATGCATTTGTATGTTTGAATAATGACATTTGTATAGGTAATGATGCATCTTGTTGAATATTCAGTGCAGTTAGATAAGGTGCTCGATCTAACATAGCTTGCAATTCTGATTCTAAAGTATCATTATAAGATAAGAGAGTAAGTGTATTTAGTTTGTTTATATTTGGAACAATTGACCAAAATCGATCATTTATGGGAAGTTTTATATAAAGGTATGTGATATTCGATAGACACATATTAGATGGAATTAGATGATTGAAATATGTGATATCACTGATTTTAGTCACGGAATTATAATACTTTCAATAATTATCATCTGAACATGTATATTTGCATAGACCTGAAATGGTTTCATACTCATCAGCTTTGCTAGATAGAGTATTAAGAGAAATGACATACTCGCCGATAAAACATCGAACAAACCATTGTCGTTCATAAATCCAAAATGAGCTTCGAAATGAATCGAGTAACTTCTCAGCTTCTTCGTTTATAATTTGCTTGTTACGAGAAAACCATTTCATTTTTAATCGAAATGTTTTGAGTTTCAGTAAGTAATTACGAATGATATGTTCCCACTGACGACCATTGATTAAGTTAGATCTTATGTTGATATCCAAGTGACGTAAATTAGGCGTACTTTGCAAGAAATATGTGATATTCGAAGCATTTATATGATAAGAAAAATACATATTTAATTGAATGAGTTTTGAATGTGGAGATGTTATATGATCTTCACTGTTCAAATTCCTAACTATTGCCGAAAGACTTTTTAAACGAGGTGTATAATCAAACAATCGATTTATTTGATTCGATGAAAGTTCGCTGTGAAATATTGTTACGCATTCAAGAGATGGGGAGATAATTGTTGGTACTCTAAAATAATATGGTCTTCGAATAATATTGTGAAAATGGCAATCAGTAAGCTTTGGTAAATGCCAAATCTTGTCAATAATCAATGAAAAATTAGCTTGTTCTGTTGAAAAATGACAATGGTTTATATTTAAACAAGTAAGACTATCGAGTTCATGGCATTTATTTAGGAGTTCTATGAATACTTTGTATGATCGAAGTTTCTGTATTGTTAATAATCGTAAGCAAGTTAATTGACGGAATGATGGTATATAAGAAACGAATAAATCACATTGCCCTATAGTCTCATAATTCGATAATCGAAGAGCAATGACTCGATCAGCAATCAATGGCAAATGTTGTTGATTTATCAGATCGAAAGTACGTTTTGACACTGATTCAAAGTCGAAACGATAGTATCGAAATTGTTTGTAAAGAAGAAAGTTGAAACGAGAATTGATACCATAAAATCCATGAAAAAGATCTGTACCATTCAAATAAGCAAATAAATCAAGCAGAATTTCATTTGATAAGACTTCTAAATACATGATGTGTATTGTCTTTTCACCAACAGTTAGAAACAGACGACCACAGAAATAGAAAAAGTGAGACAACTAATCATTGCACAGGTCATGATCGGTTTTTGTAGAAATGTCATTATGCCTAGCCCATTTCGTTTGTTGATCTTATTTTGGCTAGACAGTCGAAGACAGAGAGAGAGAGAGATTATACAATAAGATGAACAGTTGATTCGAACATCCGACGAAGAGGATGACAGAATCTGAAACTCTATTTTGAACATTTAAATAGAATAACAAGGGCTTAACACTCAGATTTATGATTGATTGTTAAGTTTCAAATGAAAGCATAAACAGTATAGGGCAATTCTCTGGAGATTAAAAAATCATTGGAGAAGAACTTTTATTGGTGGAACTTTATAAAGCAAGAATAAATATATTACTTATGATCAATTTAAGTATACCACAAGAAGCAATGTGAAAAATTCTACAATGTATAAAGTAAGGGTGTGAGGTGTGGGTGTGGATGTAGGTTTGGCTGTAGGTGTGGATTTTGACGATATACTATTGCCAGGTCCACACACATCCACAGCACCCACTCGCATCCACACCCAACTGCACGTCGATATATATTTTGTAAATCTTCCAAAAATTAATTTAATGTATATGTTCTTTAATAGAGATTAGTATTACTTAATACAAAATAATTTTATCTGATTGCCTTGAAACACTTATTTGAAAATATTTGTAGCCAAAAGAAACACCAACAACTCCCACCTAAAAAATTATATTCATTTTGTTTTACTATTAAAGAGAAACAAATCTAAGCAATAATAAATGTCATTTTGGCATATTAATTACAAGCGAAATCAAACATAAATTACAAAATTTTATTCTTTAAAAGAAATTATTCAAGAATTCGTACACGTGAGAGATGAATCATAGCATCTTTAAAAAATACTAAATCTATATTATCACCACGAATTTCTGCATTCATTTTTGTCAAGCTAGTCATTAATTTTGTTGTTAATACATTTCATCATTAAATTGATTCCTAAACTTTTCGTAATAAATCAGCAAGATCAATATCGCCATCCGTTTCATCAGTTTTACTTCGAGCCTTCGTGAAGAAAACTATGAAAAATGATTCAAAATATTCAATTAATTATAAAAAAAAGTAAAGTCGCTGTGTTAAACAGTGGCTAAATATTTTAGAGCAAGGATGGGGTGTGAGTGCAAAGTTGCCAACGCAGTCACACCCACCCTTAATAATGTCATTCGAATGTGTTACATACATATTTCTTTCCTCGAGTTTGTAGATTCTCGATTACCGTCTATTTTGATTGCCATCAAGTTCGTTCGATTTTTATCGACATAGACAAGGCAGAATACTCGAACCCAAGAAATGAAAAAAAAAATAAACGTATTAAAAAATTTAACCTTAAAACAGTTCTCTCTCTCTTTAACAACTTGTAATCGTTATTTTGATTCTCCCAATGATTAAACGATGGAAGAGAAGATCATAAGAGTATTCTGTTGATCAATTCCAAAAATGGAATTATTTTTAGTGCTTACAAGGTATTACTTGTTAGTTTCGACTGCAAGTGTCCTGACGCGCAGACCAATTTTCACTTATCTTCGATTTGCTTTGAAGAGATCAACATGCTTTGGTTTGTCTGAAAATAATTATGTGAAAGAATTACTGGTCGAAACAGGAACCAATCGATAAAAATAAGTGGTTGAATTTTCGTTGCAATGTTTCAATCGAATTACTATTAAGCAATTTATGCATGCGATCGAACCTAACAAAACAGCTGCTTCTTTTTTCTCTTTTTCATGAACAGAAACGACGAAGTGATGTGAGTGCGATGCATGCGTGTGTACGTCATTCTGCATTGAAGTGCAAGTTATGCCACCAACGTTGTGAGTAAAAAAAAAGAGGCACATTACAGAAAAAAACATGGAAGCGTGGTGATGCTTAAGTGAGCGACAACAAACACAAGTGAAAACTTGTCTGTTGATCACATTGAATGGCTTCAACATATTATGACGATGCCGAACGTTTTACCTTTCGTAAATCTACTAGACAACCCGAAGAGTATTCCAACCCAGAGTACGAACCCGAGCCCGATTCATCTGCAAAACAATTATCAGCAGTGACGCCACCTTCATTCAACCGATCGATTGATGGCATGATGCCGCGCAAAGAGGCGTCCACGATGCATCGCATTATCGTCGTACGGAATACGCCAAATCCACAAGACGAATATGGAAAACCGATTGACACGAGTGTACATGACCAAGAAAAACCATTGGATTTTCGACCGAGAATTACTGATGGGGTGAGATTCTGAACTTATTTATTTATTTGCTCTAATGATTTAGAGAATGTTTTAGCGAACATCTGTCTATGTCATTCGGCGACAGATTCCACCGAAAGATGAGAAAAATCCAACAATTTATTATTCACCAATACAAGACTCAGTGGTGAAAGATTTATCTGCACCTCTCGAATCCATACAAATATCTCCTTCAGATCCAAACTCTCCTGCACCCAACATGTCAACTCCTCCGAATCCATACGCTCCTGCATTGCACACTTCTACTCATCACGATTCACCGACTAAAGATCTTTCACAGAGTAAGCAGTTTCCTTCTATTGATAGACATTCACTCGGTACATTTTGTCATTTGAAAGCTCTTGTTTTCATGCATGGCTTGAATTTCTTCTAAAAAAGGGCGTTAATGCTGGTCGGTTTGATGTGTTTCGCATTATTTTGTTAAGAAGCAGCGAAACAACGTGTTACACCGGTCAGCATTAACGCGTTTTGCATCGTTTCTTTAGCAACCACAGACCGGATTTTGCGACAACTTTAAAAAAATTAAAAAAATAATGAACCTTTTGACAGAACTTAACCTGACGAAACGATCCATCCATTCCTGCATTGAATCATATGATTGCTATGCTATATTTACATAAACGAAAAGAAAGTTTCGACACAGCTGAGAGGAAGATTCGAACAAAAGCGCCGTGGATTAGATGTCATGCAGATAAACCACTGAACTAAAGCAATCGAACGATACGACTCTTCATTTCACTCTGATTCAGATGTTAGGTATAGCCATCGATTTGCATAAAAAAATTATGCATTACACTAAAGTCGATAAAAACTTTTCCTTTCTCGATTGCTTTCGCTCAACAATAAAGGGTGTCCCATAATAACTGAGGATACTTTTTTCTTCGTATTTTTCATAGTTTTACTCGACGTAGAAGGCTGAAATTTTTATCACATATACATATAATCCAGATCTTTTATTGCTGAAAGTTTCAGCTCTCTAGCTATAACTAGTGGTAAAATACATCGGCAAAACTGAATACATAAATTTTCGCAATCGATTTCTGCACATATGTTTACTTCGAAAATATTGTAAGGTAGTTCTAAGGGTAGTCAACCAAAAAATCACAAAGTATCAAAAAATTTTCTTTCGTATCAGACTTTGTAGAGCTTTTTTCGCTGGTCATTTTGGTAAAAAGACTTTTCGAATTTCATTCAAAAATGGCAATGTGATGGTTAAAAAATTAAACACTGTAAAATAGCTTAAAATGTAAGGAAAAATCGATTCATATATCTCAGAATGGCTATTTTTTGAAGAAATGTGACATAGTAGCTTTTGTAGAGGAAAGTTTGCTCTACAAAACCCCATAGACAGTTTCTCAGATACGGACGAATAGAATGAATAAATCACTATTGAACATTGTATACGATATTTCTATCAAAAAAATCTGACATCTTCCGTTTTTGTGATAAATATTTTGATCATAACATCGTCATTTCTCAACGAAATTCACAAATTTTTTTTATCAAAAGAATCAGCGAAAAAAGCTCTACAAAGTCTTATGCGGAAGAAAATTTTTGGATACTTTGTGAGTTTTTGGTTGGCTACGCATGGAACTACCCTGCGAAATCGATTACCAAAATTTATGTATTCAGTTTTGCCGATGTATTTTACCACTAGCTATAGGTAGAGAGCTAAAACTTTCAGCAATAAAAGATCTGGATCAGATGTATATTTGATAAAAATTTCAGCCTTCTACGCTGAGTAAAACTATGAAAAATACGAATAAAAAATTATTCTCAGTTGTTATGGGACACCCTTTATATGTATATTAAGAAATGAAAGAAAATATTTATTCTTACTATATAGTTCTTTGCTCTACTAAAAACTGATCCCATTTATTTCACTATAGTACCAGGGGAGGAACTGCATTCGTATGGTATCCGTGTTTCAGACAGACTATAACTTTTGACATTGGGTGAACCGTATTGGAAGTAGAGTCTACAATTAAAACTCGTCACTAATCACGAAAATCTTTTTTGTGTACTCAAAAAGTGAGTACACTACTAAAATCGGTCAGTGTGTCCGGCCGTCCGGCCGTTAACACGATAACTTTCGAAAGGAGAGTCCAATCGCGATGAAATTTTCTACACAGTTCAGTCTTAACAATGTCTCGGTCGAGTTCGAAGATGAGCAGGATCCGTCAAGAAATGGCTGAGTTATCGAAAAAATTGTGATTTTTGACCAGACCATCCCTGAGGGGGAGTACAGG